TATATATATATATATATATAGAGAGAGAGAGAGAGAGAGAGAGAGAGAAAGAGAGAGATGGAGGTTCAGGGGAAAACCGAAAAACACTCCATTAACCGTTAGATTAATTGATTCAATTGATGTGATTAAAGAGGTTGTTACAACTTTATTTTTACATTATAAAATCTTCCACCCCTATGGTAAAAAAAAATACAAAATATGATCAAAGTTCAAACGAAATAAATTACACCAAAAAACAATCAATCATATTTTCTCGTTAATTTGACATCATTATTCATATGGTTTTTCATCCTCTTCTTCGTGGTTTTCCAATTTTTCATTTATTTAGTATTTTCCCCTGAACCTGACCCTATATATAAATGTTTATAAGAAAGGGTTCAAATGAGAAGGCTATAAATACTGAAAAAGTGAGAAGGGATTTCATTCATTAGATGAGATTTTTCAATGATCAAAATCTTCAAATCATATATAACAGTAGAGATAAAATAGTAAATGTTTAAAGAACATAAAAAACTTAAAGCAGCATTTAGAAACTTTTGTTAAACTAAATCACTAATCAATTCTTTTTAAAAAATTTAACCATTCTATTTTTAAATAAAAAAATAGATTACACATTTCTTTTTTAATTAAATTATCTAAAATATAAAGATTTTTTTTTTATTAACCTGGATATCCAACCCGTTATGCGAGCCGGCTAATCCCAGGACGACCATCTGCTTTGCAGATAGTCCGGAGTCACCACATTTGAACATTCGTGGCCACAAGGGGATCTTTATTCCTCATTGGATTTGAACATGAGACCTTCTGGTACTTTTGACATTTGGAGCCAAGCTCAAGCCAATCAGACACCACCCTTTTCATAATAAATAAACTCTCATCATTTTCATAAATATCTCAATTTATTGGGTTGCATTGGTTGTACAAATACGACGGGTTGTATTTGAAACAAACTCTACACACACACACACACACACACACACACACACACATATATATATATATAATAAACCTTATATATCAATCTTTTATTATATCAAACTTTATAATTAGTTCAAAATCATAAAAAAATATGTGAAAATATTAATTGTAATCATGAGGTGTATTATGAGAATTGTTTTGTCATTATAGATATCAATTTGTCTCCTACATATATTCTCATAAAATATATCTATTCATCAAGCAAACATTGTGTTGTTATCTATTTTGATATAATTGTTGAATAATTTTGCAATTTGCTCATATTAGTCATAATATACTCATTTGCATCATTGAACAAAAACCTCCTTTTTGAATTATAAAATCTTCCACCCCTACGGTCAAAAAAATACAAAATATGATCAAAGTTCAAACGAAACAAATCACACCAAAAAACAATCATATTTTCTCGAAAATTTGACATCATTATTCATATGGCTTTTCATCCTCTTCTTCGTGGTTTTTCAATTTTCCATTTATTTAGTGTTTTCCCTTGAACTTGGTCTTATATATAAATGTTTATAAGAAAGGGTTCAAATGAGAAGGCTATAAAATACCGAAAATGTGAGAAGAGATTTCATTCATTAGAGTGAGATTTTTCAATGGTCAAAATCTTCAAGTCATATATAAATGTTTAAAATAAAAAACTTGAGGGGGCATTTTGAAACTTTTGTTAAACTAAATCACTAATCAACTCTTTTTAAAAAAATTAACCATTCAATTTTTGAATAAAAAATAGATTACCCATTTCTTTTTTAATTAAATTACTAAAATATAAAGAATATTTTAATTAACAAATAATAGAAACATGCCGTATTTGAATGTATGTGAGTAATTGAAGCAAACATCCTTTTCATAATCAACTCACGCATGGAAAATTGTTGCAATAACAAAGCATTTATCACCAAACCCCAAGTTATAGTGATATCAAAAGAAGTCCATGAAGTCCTCTAATTCATGAAAGTGGAAAAATGCCATATTTAAATAAATGAATGACTTACAGAAGAACGATATACGGTTACTTGTATAACTATAAAGTGACAAGAAATTTGGTTGTTGATGGTTGTTTAATGTTGATAGAAGCACTAAAAGACCCAAATCAAGGTTGGATGCTTATGGATTTACCAAAATCAAGGTTGGATGCTTATGCTCATCAGAA